TTATTCGGTTACATATCACAAAGGAATTGAGTCTTTGCCACAAACTATACTTTTCTAAACCCTATATCTTTGGATTCCAATGTCGTAGACCTTAGATATTTCAAACTATGAATTCTGTAATATCAAATAATGTAAGTTTGAAATATCAAAGATTTGCGACATTGAATTCCAAAGATATAGGGATTTTAAATTCAGAAGTTTGTGGCAAAGACTCAATTCCTTTAATTATTTTCTGTTCTTCTCAATAGCTTTCCAAAATTAGGAGTTATGATTAAATCGTCTGATATGTAAATAAATCAATATTTTGTATTACGATTTATATTGTATTGTGTTATAATTATCTATTGTAATTTGAGGATTTTATTTACAAAAATTCTAAAAATGTGGCCAAATTCTTTAAAATTACAAATATAAATCTATACAAACATAATTGCAACCTTATTTAAAAATATCACGGTATAAAATAATAACATTTTATTCATGATATCGAAGAAATACAGGAAGGATATTGAAATTATCAACATTGTTTTTCAAATTATGAACAGCTGACATTAAAACGCTGTCAGAAGTTTGATATTTTTAACAAAATGCTAGTTTTTTCACACACATTCTTTTTTTTCCAAACAATTTTCTGTTGTAGACACGATATAGAAAACAAAATAAATGTTTCCCGGTTTTGACAATCTTAAAAAATCAGCCATGGATAGGGGTGTATAGTGTATACTGGACTATGNTGAAGAGGATGTAGGATCTATCTATATATTTGTGAAGAGGATGTAGGATCTATCTATATATTTGTGAAGAGGATGTAGGATCTATCTATATATTTGTGAAGAGGATGTAGGATCTATCTATATATTTGTGAAGAGGATGTAGGATCTATCTATATATTTGTGAAGAGGATGTAGGATCTATCTATATATTTGTGAAGAGGATGTAGGATCTATCTATATATTTGTGAAGAGGATGTAGGATCTATCTATATATTTGTGAAGAGGATGTAGGATCTATCTATATATTTGTAATTGGAGCTTTTAAAACAGTGTCATGGTTTGGTAAAACACTAAATGAAACAAACTTAGGAAATTTTTTTTTGAAAATGTAGAAAGTAAAAATTGGATTTTTTTTTTGTTAAATTTACCTTATTATCAACCCTTATTCCCAAGTTAACAATTTCTAATTATATTTTAAAATATTAAATGCTTTTTAAAATTCAATTGATAAAAAAGACTTCTTCATAGCCTTTCAGCCCCTTTTTAAGAAATTGAGTCTTTGTCACAGACTCAAAGTTTCTAATCCTTGTATCTTTGCAACCTGATTGTGTAAACTTTTGATATTTTAAACTTGGACTATTTGATCTAACAGAATTCATACTTTGAAATGTCTAAGGTCTACACGACATTGGGTTAAGGTGATATAGGGATTAAAAAAATCAGAGTTTGTGGCAAAGACTCAATTCCTTTGAATACATTTTCCCAACAAATCTTAGATAATTAGTTTATTATTGTAGGGCATAGAAAATTCTTAAATATGTTTTAATAGATTTTTCAAGATAAAGATTATATGTCACAATGTTTTAACATTAAAAATATTTTTTTTTATGTTTAAGTATGTAATTTAAATTATACATTCGTAAATAAATGAAATGATTTGTTTGTGTTTTTATAAAACTTAAATACAAAGATTATATTATAACCTTCATTTGTATAGATCGTGTCCTGTTCGTTTTACAACCTTTAACGGATCATAGATGACGGACATGCCCTTTTTCATTGTATGTTTTCATTTGAATATTTGAAACCCGCGCTGGAATATTCTGGATTTTCGAGAAATATATGTATATAAAATAAGCTGCATTGAGTTTCAATCTCCGCTGCAATTTTTAGGAAATTTAAACACCGTTTTATAGATAAAAACACTAAGTTCTCTACCGTCGATGATCAACCAAAAGTTTTAGAGTTTCTTTGTATATCGGACATTCTCTTATATGCATTCTCTTCTGAACCTCTTAAAGGGACAGACTGGCTATGTAAGGTAGTTGAACTGAGTATGCAGTGTTGTGGAAAACTTCTTTCGGATTCATTTGAGACATATAGAACTTTTTAAAGATCTGTAAATCCTGAGTTTGAGCGCAAATTCGACGTTCAAAACTCGTACTTTGGGGGTGGATACTTTTTCAGGATTAGTTTTTTTAAATTATTAAATAACCGGTCACTCCCTTTAACCGAAACTCTGTAGAACCACGGGAATATGTTTATAGTGGTGTTTAAAAAGCATGGGTATTGGGTATCCAAGGTTGTGTTTGATAATTGAATTCTGTAAAAAGAATTTATTATGCTATGAATAAACGCTAACATGAATATCTGTTTGTGTGATAAGGTTCTATTAGTCTCTAGATATAAAAGGGATGCAATAAGTTTTTTTAATTGACCATAGCGCTGATTTATTGATCAGCAAGAACTTGTTCAAATGCGTAGACCTAGTTGAACCAATTCTTTTCAATCTGAGGCAGCAGTTGGAATAAGAAGTATCGAACCGATCGTTCATGAAAAAAGAACAGAAGAACTTGCATGAAAATTACAGAATACAAATTTATCATTTTAACATGTTCTGCTATTTTTAATATTGCATCTTCTGGTTTTTCCCCGTTCGGATTGTTTTTTCATTAATAAATACAGAAAATGATCGTTAATCTCGCCTAACGAATACTAAAATATCAACCGTTAACGCCGTTAGCATAAGTAAGATCGTTTACGAATAGTTTTATGAAAAAAATAAGATAATTTTGAAGATGTTTTGTGGGATTGGATAAATTGATTTGTTGATTTAATGAGTTCTTATGAATGTTATATTTCCGTGGAGCAGATTATTTAAACAGATAAAAAATGTTAAATTTTTTTTTTGAATTCTCAGGCAGAAGGTGACTATAACGAGGATCCTGATATTGTTCGTTGAAAATTAGAACAACATAATGAAAACCTGGAAAAAGTCTAGTGCAAAGAAAAAAAAAAGCAATAAAAAAATATTCAAAATTGCATGAAGAAGACTTAAAATCAGTGGTGGTATGTTTATTAAATCCCCTATTTTACCCCCTCTAAGCCTAACCTATAATTTTAGCATCTTCACTCTTGATAGTTAGTTTTCCTAATAGTGCAGGGGTGGAAGGTATTCATAAGGCGTAACTTTTAAAATGTGAAGGAGGGGCGAATAAAAAACATGGAAATTGAGAATTTAGAATCACGTTAATACAATTTAATTTACATTGAGTAAGAACTATCAAATTTGAGACGGCCAATTGAATCTTACTTAACTGGTTCTTTATAAAAAATTTTATAAACTATTGTGTACTTTATCATTCTTATTCACTTCATCGTGAATTTCATAATAAACGAACTATAAAGTAATCATCGTGCTTTAAAGTTTAATTAGCTGTATTATGTGTAGTTGTGCTGTAAAGTTTTGATTGGTTACCGGATTTTTTCCAAAATAATTTTTTTCAATTGAAATGATAATAAAATTTAAATCAACTTTATACTTTGACTTCTGCTTTGTTTCAAAGCTTATTTGATCTAGAAATAATAGCCATTAAAATAAGAAAGTACACAAACGTTTCATAAAATTTCAAAATTAAAACTTTACAAAAAAAATGTGGAATCTTCCGTATTATTACTTACAACTTTTAGAAGTAAGCCTCATTTGTAATTACGTATAAGGTCCATTTAATAACATAAGGTTTCAAGGCGCAACTACGTAAAATGTTTAGGGAGGGGGGGGGCAAATTCATAGGGGTCTTTAGTTTTAATTTTCAATTGGAAACTCTTTTGTTCTAAGATAAAGGAGGATTCAGAAAAGAAAAAAAAATATTGAAAAAGAAAATTTATAAAAAACGAAGGCTAAAGATGTAGGATCTATCTATATATTTGTGAAGAGGATGTAGGATCTATCTATATATTTGTGAAGAGGATGTAGGATCTATGATTTGTACACTTTGAACTCCCTTTCAGGCTGAAAGTAACTGAAAAAATTCATACCGAGAGATTTTCTAAATTCCCCTTTAATATATATTCTAACAATGTTCATGTTCAATGTTCATGTTCAATGTGCATGTTCAATTTTAATGTTCTTGTTCAATGTTCATGTTCTCGTTCAATATACATGTTGTTGTACAATTATCATATTCTTGTTCAATTTTCATATTCTTGTTAAATATTCATGTTCTTGTTCAATGTTCATGTTCTTGTTCAATGTTCATGTTCTTGTTTAATGTTCATGTTCTTGTTTAATGCTTATGTTCAATTTTCCCATTATTTGTCAAAGTTTCTTTTCTTCAATTTTCACGTTCTTGTGCATGTTCTTGTTCAAAATGTTTTTCATGTTTTTGTTAATGTTTTTGTTAATGTTTTTGTTCATGTTCTTGTTCATGCTATTGTTCATGTCTTTATTCATCTTCTTGTTCATGTTGATGTTCTTGTTCAATGTTCATGTTCATGTTCTTGTTGAATGTTTATGTTCATGTTTTTGTTTAATAATCATGTTTTTTTATTGTTTATGTTCTTGTCCAATATTTATGTTTTTGTTCAATGTTCATGTTTTTTTTCAATATTCATGTTTTTATTTAATGTTCATATTTTCTTTAATTTCCATGCCAATTCTCTGCTTAGAACTTTTTGGTTTCAATTTTAATGATAGAGTTAAAAGGTATACAGTATACTTGTAAACTCTAGTACATCTTATGAACTCTTTGATTTCTTTTTTCAAAATAGAGTCATAATGCATTGAGTACACATAAAAACTCTAGTCTTATAAACTCCTCGCTGTTAGTTTAAATAATAGAGTCAAAAAGCATAGAGTACACAAGTAAACTCTTTTGTTTCAGCTTTAATAATAAAGTTTAAAGCATAGAGTTTACTATCCAACATTTGTTTGTACTATATATTGCACTTTGAGGCGTACTTCAAACAATTGTACTCATACTCTTAAACCTTATGACAACTAATAGACTTTTCAGGCTAACCACTAACAAACAATGTACGGTCCTGCCTTCCACTCTTTGGACCTGAGGGAGTTCAGGGACCACAAGGAGTTCAAAGAGTACAAGGAGTACAACGAGAACAAACAGTACCAACAGTACAAAGAGTACAAAGAGTACAAAGGAATTGATGACGCTCATCTGAAAACTCTGCCAAGGGTTAAAAGAGCTTCTTCAAGCCAGTCCATCAGGTAAATATCAACAGTGTGAACTCTTCTCGAAAATAAGTATGTCCAACCCAGTTTTTAAAAAGTGTAATGCTTATATTTAATTTTAGAAAGTCAGTTCTAATGTTTTTTAAAAATATAAAACAGCTTGAAAATCAAGTTTTCAACATTAAAAAGCGCTTCTGTTGATAAATATGATAAGTCCGTCATCCTTGGTCAGGATTGCAGCGTACCGTTGTGAATTTAGCATCTTACTTCAGAAATGGAGGGTCATTTGAAATTTGGCCAACAGCCTGGACTTGATAACTAAAAAAGAGACAAATTACAAAAATAACATGTAAAAGTAGGGTTCCAGGAATCCACAACGGATAGTTAATTTATTAAAGGGACTGTCCAGGAATCCACAACGGATAGTTAATTTATTAAAGGGACTGTCCAGGAATCCAACGGATAGTTAATTTATTAAAAGGACTGACCAGAAATCCAACAGATAGTTAATTTATTAAAGGGACTGTCCAGGAATCCAACAGATAGTTAATTTATTAAAGGGACTGTTCAGGAATCCAACGGATAGTTAATTTATGAAAAGGACTGACCAGGAATCCAACAGATAGTTAATTTATTTAAGGGACTGTCCAGGAATCCAACAGATAGTTAATTTATTAAAGGGACTGTTCAGGAATCCAACGGATAGTTAATTTATTAAAGGGACTGTTCAGGAATCCAACAGATAGTAAATTTATTAAAGGGACTGTTCAGGAATCCAACGGATAGTAAATTTATTAAAGGGACTGTCCAGGAATCCAACGGATAGTTAATTTATTAAAGGGACTGTCCAGGAATCCAACGGATAGTTAATCTATTAAAGGGACTGTCCAGGAATCCACAACGGATAGTTAATTTATTAAAGGAACTGTCCAGGAATCCAACAGAAAATAAATTTATTAAAGGGACTGTTCAGGAATCCAACGGATAGTTAATTTATAAAGGAACTGTCCAGGAATCCAACGGATAGTTAATTGTTAAAGGAACTGTCGACGTAACTTTAAGATATTCTCCTTTTAAAAGGGCTTACATCTCATTTCAAAGTTGACCCATGAAACATAAAACCTTACACATTTCAGCAAAAATCTTGGGTTTTTGTCCAAAACATATTAATTTTCAATTGTGGCTTCACCATCAAAGTGAAATGGCGACCTTTATGAGGAGAATCGTTGTGCGTCGAGTGTTTATGTAAAATCCTTAAATTCCGTTGAAATTCCAAAATTGTAAGATGCACACAAATTACAGAAGTATAACCTGTTCTACTTTTTAACTATAAGGCCGCATATATAAACGTACTTTTAGATCCAAGCCAGCTCCGCCTAAAGTACCAACCAGAGCAACAAAACCCTCCTCCTCCTCCAACTCGTCCCCAGATCTCGAGATCAGATCCATCCCTGCTCCAGGTCCACATAGAGCTACCACAGGTTCCGTTCCCGGTAAAGCTCCCCGAACCCGACACTGTTCGTCCATCCTGCCGGCCGGCGTGTCAAGGTCAGGCTCATCGGCCATTCGACGATCATCAGAATCGATGTTCTCTTTAGACCCTCACAGTACTGCAGAACCGGTTCCTGTTTACAAATATTCATCTTCAGATGAGAGCTTGGCTGAACCTATTTCTACTAAACAGAGGTAAAATTTTACATTGACATCAAGCAGAGAAAACATGATAATCCACAGTGAGAACCAGAAAACTATGGAATAGGAAGACGATATTAAACCAATACTTAAGTATACTTAAGTGTATTTGATGTTGTTATTAGACAAGCTGGGGTCCGAGCGCTGCGGCCACGGGTTGAGTTGAGAAACTTCCATGTACAAAATTGATAGGAGGGGGGGGGGGCCTGGGGGGGGGTCCAAAAATCGTATACTAGGAAATTACCACAAGCTGTACGAGTGACTTAATAGATCACGTATTCAGTGCAATGATTATGTTTATACTGAACAATAATTACAGTGTAATGTCGGTTTGTGTTTCTAACTGTAACACTTACACAAATATCGAACAGATATAACAAGATATGAGTTTGTTGGATTTTGTTACGAAATTGGCAAATTTGTTGGATGCTAATCTCTAATCACAAAATCTCAATTAAAACTTAAAGATTTTGTTCAGACGAGAACATTTCTTCCACAACAATAAACTTCAGAGTTTTATAAATACTATTGTTGAAAATTGAAGAAAAGTACATTTTCACTTTTTATAATAATAGTATAATGGAAATTGTGTTTTATCATTGAAATGATATTTGAAAAATTATAAGAGCTAATTATTAGTAAGGTTTCCTCTATGGGGTTTCTTTTTAAAAACATTACATTTAAAACCGATCCTAAAGTATAAAAATAAATTCTAATTTTTCGCATTTTAAATGAAAGATGATGAAAACAAAGAAACTAGTCATGATGTTTTGTATCATGACATTAAAATCTGAATTAACAAAAAATATTTTTTATCTAACCTCTGGTTCCACGTACATATCTACGGACTAACCATGGTTCCTAGTTCATTGACTAACCCTGGTTCCATGTTTATTGAATAACTCTGGTTCCTAGTTCATTGACAAACCCTGGTTCCATGTTTATTGAATAACTCTGGTTCCATTGACTCAAGGGACATTAGTTCCAAAACGGTTATATAGTCCATTTCTAACACTCAGTGCCAAATCACTGTTTGGAACTAATTTCACCTCACACCTGTATCTAATTGCTGTGAATTTTGATAACATTTTAACATATTGGCCTGAAAATGTTTTTTTGCCTTTTTTTCAATTATACTTTTTTTGGCATGCACGTTTTAGATGATAAAGTATAAAAGATAACTCCATCACTAGGAAGATTTGTGAATTAAAGATTTGAATTCAACTGGAATGAGTCTCACTGTGTTACAACATTAAGGAAAAAGAAACCTCGGAATGCGCTGCGGCTTGGAAGAACCAACATGGAAACCTTCAGCCCACTTCACACTTCGGAGAAAATTGATCTAAGGTGAGTACTGTGTGTATAGTAAACTGAACAAATAATTAAATCCAAGGAGACTGCACAGGCATTGAGTTATAGGGGTTGATTGAATTCTGCTGGTATGATTAAAATGGCAGCTCCAGAATATTAAAACTAATTATTTTTAATTTTGATTTCTCTACAAAAGTGACTTGTGCATTTCGGCATCAGCAGGAAAAGGAAAAAAGTAGGAATTATCAGAAGTAAAAATGTTTAAGCTTATTTTTCATGCTTTGTTGATCGGATAAAGATTTTAAGGGTAATGTACTGCACCCTTTCATCGAATATTTCTTTGTTATACTACTAATACCATGATAAGATTTATAATTGGGGCTTTTAAGGAAACTGAAAAATAGAAATACATTTTTTAATAGAAAAAAAGAAGAATTAAGTTTAGGCAAATCTTTTCAAGATTAAGGGGTTTTAGGGGTCTAGGCCCAAAGGTGTCGGATTTGTAATTCAAAGGCGCAGAACTCCTTTTGGCTTCTGCCTCAAGGTTATTGTGAAAGAAAAATCTTGAAAAGACGACATAAAGTGTTCCATCTGTATTTTTATTAATCTACGTGTTTAGGACAAAGAGTAGAACTTCTAAAGATTCATCAATTGACAATCTTACCACACTTCCAACATTGACTTTTTCCAGTTTATCATCAGGTAACCCCCTCCCCCCTCCCTCCCTCCCTCTTTTTACTGCAAAGCAAATACCACCCTCCTTTTTTCTCCTGAAAACCTCATCCTTCTTTTTAAAAGTTACCTCACCCCCCCTCACGTGGGGTATTATGGGGGGAGGGTCAGCCTGAATGAGTTTATTCCATAAACCTCTTCATATTCATATTTTTATTCAACTACAAAGCACGAGATAATACAAATAAAAAAATCACAATTTACTTTGTAGTTTGGACCCGCCTGCCCAGAGTAGGCTATTTTAATTGGTTGGCCCACTATAAACGAATGAGAATTGCAGATAAAAACAATGTACATTGTACATTTTAAACATAAGGGTTGGAACATAGGGTAACATAAGTTATTAGATTCATGTTTATGAACTACAGGGTGAAGAAGATTGTAAAGACTAAGTTTGTCCACATGATACACAGTTTTTTTTTACAGATATAATTTGCATAACTATCTAAATAGATCTTGGCAACTTTTCTTTTAAACGATTTTGTAGATTTAGTTTCTTTCATCTCTAATTCTTATTTATGCCAAATAAGGCTTGGCCGCTTAGAAATTTTTTTGAAAGAAGTCTCCAAGTGGTTTAAATGTTATGTTTATGTTAAGAATTTCGACCAAAAACCCGGTATTTCATCGAAAACTCTTAAAATAGGATTTTCAACACGCTACTGTCAGGGGCGGATATAAGGATTCTGTAGGGGGGGGTAAAAATTTTTAATTTGGCGCGCCGAATTTTTTTTTACCCCCCCTAGAAATTTTTTTACTCTGTATATTGTATAGTTGTATACTCTGTATACTGTATAGTTGTATAATCTGTATACTGTATTGTTGTATACTCTGTATACTGTATAGTTGTAAACTCTGTATACTGTATAGTTGTATACTCTGTATACTGTATAGTTGTATACTCTGTATACTGTATAGTTGTATACTCTGTATACTGTATAGTTGTATACTCTGTATACT